CCTGGAAATAATGATGGGAATGTCATCACACTTCTTACAAGGCCTTAAGGTCAATGCTGCCACCTACATGAAGGTGTTGGACATGATGGTCAAGGTCAAGATTGAGAGGATGACACACAGGCTGAACATGTTCTGGTAGGACTCTGCTCTCTCTCTCTCTCTCTCTCTCTCTCTCTCTCTCACTCACACACACACACACATGGCCTCCATGACCCAAGTGAGGCTTGTTGAAAATTTAATGTCCATATATCTCCCAACATGTGGCTTCATAAATCTACTGATTTGAACATCCTAGATTATTTGATCTGGAGTACCATTGAGACAGAGACTAAACCATGATCCCATAAAAACAAGAACTTGTTGAATGTTATTCTCATCCATGTGGTGGATTGAATGAATGAGAAACATCTGATTCAAGCACTTCACTTGCATCTAAAACTGCATCAAGAGTGGTGTTTTACTTTTCTATTTTTCTATGTTTAACATGTGTGCAGATTTTACTGATTTTTTTCTTTTTTAAATATCTTTTTCTTTAAATTTTTCTCACTTACCTGTCACAGACTGTACATGTAAAACACACTATATTCAAATAGAACATTTTCCAAATTTTATTTTGTCACTGACCATTAGGGATAAATAACTTTGTTGATGGTGATGCTTATGTATGAGGAGATGATGAAAAATCTGACCAAACATCGGAATTTGCAATGGGATCTCATATTATTTGTCCTCTCTCAAAAAAAAAAAAATATATATATATATATAGTCGACTCTCCTGTCGAATTCGACGTATGAGGCTCAAGCAGATCAGTTCCCAGGAAACCGACAGCCCGACAACAGCACATGAGATTTGATTATAGTGGTGACGGTTTCGTGCAGGACCAGCCACACTTTTTGAAGGGCCGAATACAGAGACCTGGTGCACTAAGTGCCACAAGGTTCCCAAACGACCCTCCACAGGTTTTTGAATTCATATATATATATATATAAATAAGTAAAAAAAAAATGTGTGACACACTGATATATATATATATATATATATATATATATATATATATATATATATCAGTGTGTCACACATTTTTAACAAAAGTAAATATGTGACACACTGATATATATATATATATATATATATATATATATATATATCAGTGTCACACATTTTTACTTTACAGTTAAAAATGTGTGACACACTGATATATATATATATATATATATATATATATATATATATATATATCAGTGTGTCACATTTTTAACTTTACTCCTAGAGGCTGTAGCCCAAAATATCATACCATTTTGGACTCAGGCTGACTCCGTGAGCAAATTAAAAAAAAATCTGGGCCAGATTGAAACCTGCAGTCTTGAAATTTTGGATTCACAATTTTTTATTAGTGCAATTGTTTTCAGCAATTTTTTGTGACAAATTCTTATTATACACTAACAATTTTTATAACTTGGAAATAGATTTGGGAATAATTGAAATTAATTGCAAAATCTGGTGAAAGTCTCCTGTGAAATAAAAATAATTGTTTGTACAGAAAGTAATGACCTATATACATCAAATTGTCTTTAAATTAAGTGGCAGCAGAAGAATTATCATTGAACTTTAAAAATGTAAGCTTAAGTATTAATGCAATTCTTAAATGCAGCAATAAATTTTGAGTTCTTCTTTAATTTATTGTTGCCTATCACATTTGGCAGCAGCATACCTTGCAAAAAGAAATCTCCACCAAGAGAGGATCGAATGAAAAGAGCCAAGGCTGCAGTGAGGAAAAGAAAACCCAGATTAAACAGCAGCCAGGAGAGCTGCCGATGCTGAAAATATGCAAAGACTTAAGAGCTGTTAAAATTCTGAACAAGCCAAAGGCCCAATCAAGTGCCCTCTGCAGTAACTAGCTTAAATGCTGTCCAATAGGGCGACTTTTCTCCTATTGCTATTAAACATTACTCTTCAAGTATGAATTGAATTCTCTGAGCTGCTGACATATTTCATATAGAGAAAAACCTTAAAATTCTCTTACTTTCTGCTGTGCAATGATGTCCTAGGGGTAAGATATCTGACTGATGTCAAATCAGTCAGGTTTCAATCTCAGCTTGGAGCAACTGGACATCTAGCCACACTGAGGAGCTGTGATACAGTGAAACAGTCTGTCTGTGGATGACTATATATCCTCCCAGAAATCTGGTTGAGCTCTCTAGGGAAAGGGGGTTTTAAAAACAGTGGTGCCTACTGCTATTAAGCACTACTCTTCAAGTATAAATCTCTGAGCCACTGGTGTATTTCGTATAGAGAAAATATTAAAATTTCCTTCCTTTCTGCCATGTGAGGATGGCCTAGGGTTAAGATATCTGACTGATGTCAAATTGATCCTGGCTTGAAGCAATTAAGGAGCCTTGATACTGTGAAATAGTAGATATATATATATATATATATATATATATATATATATATATATACAAGAAACTTTTTTGAATTTGTAGGTATGATTATATATATATATATATATATATATATATATATATATATATATATATATATATATATATATATGTTATATATATATCATGCATTCCAAAAAATATTTTTTTATGTAAACTTCATATTAAACAAAATCAGCAAATTCCCCAACTAGAAATGCAAGATCCAGTTTAAATGATAGAAAAATACCTTTTTAATGCCATGTTAGCTTTTTTAAGTAGAGTATATTTAAATAGGTAACTAGGTTGGTTGTTGAAAAATCAGATGTTATGAAAAATATGTAGGTCAAAAATAACTGACCACACCCATACCAATAATTTCTTCTCCTAACTGCATTTTTGTCTTTTGCAGTATTTTTGTTTTTAATTTTAATTAAGTTCCTTTGTCAAAAGATTATACTATTTTTTACAAACTCAGTTATTTTCTACTATGCCAAATAATGAAAATAAAGTTGTTTTTTTTAAGTTTATGTAACTGTTTTGATTTATAAGTATTAACTTTAAAAATTTAAGATGAATATTTAGGATTGTATTGGGAATAACAATGTGTGTACATTTATAGCTAAATTTATAAATAATATTTTCAGAGCCATAAGCATTGTTAGAAATAAAAGCCATTCTCTTAAATAATGAAATCATTTCCTTTTCTGCTTGATAAATGTGTGCCATCAACCATAGACAAAATCTATGACAGAGAACATAACATGAAAATGAATATTGCTATTTAAGTTATAGATAAAATTAAAGTCTTGTAACAACTTAGTTCAAAGAATAGAAATAAAATCCTTTTAAAAACTAGTGGTACAAGAAATTTTCAGTCTCGTCTGAATCAGTATTTCAAATTTCTTTTTGCTCTCAAGAAATTAATCATGGAAGAACTTAAGCATGAAAATAGGAAGGTAACAGAATGATAAAATGGTTTGTAAATATAAGTTTGGATCATGAAATGAATGTGGTGAAAAATGTATTCAATAATGCACAACAAATATCAAATTCGTAACCAACACTTGATTTGAAGAATATCTAAGAAACTTCTGGACTTGGAAAAAGCTGATGAGGTCATACCAATAACAAAATTATTTGACCATCAATAACTGATTTAGAAATGGATTTTTTCACTAAAAATAATATACCCAAGTATGAGATTGACCACTTTCCAATTACGTTCAAAAGAATCAACGCTTAAACTTCAATATAAAAACTTTAGTTTCGCAAATTTTAAATGAAAGCAGTCATATCTGAAACCAAATATGAAGCTGTGGGAGAGGCTAATGTATTTGAAGTGAAAAACTTTCAGAAAAATACTAATAACAGTAAAAAAAAAGAAGCTTTCTCCAGAAAAGAAAGGCAAGAGGGAAAAATGGATGACAAATGAAATTCTTGTCTGAATGAATGCGAATGAGCAGATAACACAAAGAAATAGTGCAGAGTATCTAAGGCTAAATCAAATAAAAGGGAAATGTCTAAATGAGTAATGTGTTGAGATCTGAAGAATATGAATACAATAGGAATGCATAGAAAAGATCAAAGAAATAGCAAGACAGAAAATGTAAAGGAAAAAAGAAAAGGGCTTCAGAATGTATAAAATCTAAAGAGGGGCCAATTAAAAAGTCATCTATTATAAAATCAAAAGTTTTAAGGAGTATTGAAAATGCAAAGAAACTGTTGCTAACAATCAGAAATATACAACTGAAAACTTTTAGATAAATAATTGAGAAAAAAGTCCTGGATAATTTGGCACTCACAGTACACATTGAAAGCAAGAGACTCAGAAAAAAAGTAGAAAGTGACTAATTTGACAAATTTTAATGAAAGGGATAGAAGAACTAGTAAGAGAAAGACAAAGAGTGGTTATAAAAGTTGTATTGCAAGGGCAACAAAAAAACAGGAAGCTGTGGGAACCATGATCACTTATTTTGAAGAAACAAGGCATGCACGCACGCACACACGCGCACACACACACACACACATATATATATATATATATATATATTTTTTTTTACCCTTGAAATTGTGATCTGATGAACCAGGTAAAAATACCTTGGAAAATATAATCAATGGACCCTTAAGGTTGTCTGTTTTCTATTTAAAATGAATTAATATATATATATATATATATATATATATATTTCGTGGTTATATATATATATATATATATATATATATATATATATATATATATATATATATATATATACCCATGAATATAGGATTAGTGTAGATGGAATAAATTCCCAATATCCAAAAATACTATTCTTAAAAGAGTGCTCAATACAGATAATTTTTAATAATAATTTTATTTTCGAATGAATTATATATATATATATACATATATATATATATAGAGAGAGAGAGAGAGACAGACAGACAGACAGACAGACAGAAACAGAGACAGAGAAAGAGAGAGATGCATGGACAATAGAAGTAAAATTCATATTTGTTTTCTTTTTCTTAATAATATAAGGAAATATAGTATTCTGTTTGGATTAGAACTTTGTAATTAATTCATTCTAGCTTATAACCACATCACATTGAAAACACCGGTTGTCATACAATCACCAAAGTTAAGCAATATTGAGTGTGGTCTGTACCTACATTGGTGACTGCTTGTGAATACCAGGTGCTGTAAAATTGCATGTACAGGTGGAATTGTTAATCAGAGAGACAAGTTCCAATTCCAGTCAGGTTTGTTATATTCACTTACACACAAATACCCTTGAGAAAGTTATGAATCCACCTCTTCTCTCTCCAGCTATGGGTTAATTAGTATCACTAAACCATTATTATCTCCAAAAATATTTCTACAATTTAAAAATATATTCTAACTTTAAATAACCTGCAAAGCATTGATAAGTCATAGAGAATGAATGAATCAATCAATTAATTACTTTTAGAACAATTTTTAAAAATGATTTGACAATTATTTTAAATTCTGAAATTACAAAGTGAGTTTACTTTGATTAGAGTATCTTTTACAAAGTATTCAAAACATAATCAAATAATTAAGATTTTTTGCATTATAGAAATACATGTATATATGTAATGATACATGTATATATGTAATGATACATGTATATATGTAATGATATTAACAAATTAGTTTTATGTAATGTCTCTTTTTCCTTTAATAGCAGTATTTTTTCCTTTAATAGCAGTATTTTTTCAAAAAGCTTATACATATTTTTAGAATTCATTTCCAGAACATTAGTCTGTTCATTATTAATTCTCTTTCTCTCTTTGATCAGACAAAATTAAAAACTTGTTTGACTATTTAGATAAAACTTTTATATAAAACCTAAAAAACCACTGGTTTAAAGCTTTGTGTATCAGGTTTTTTCTATAAAATTTTTAATGTAATAATTCAATTAAAAATTAAACCAATTCAGTTTTCATTTTCTCAAAAGATGTCAGAAAAATTTACATTACATGTTTATTTATTACATACATACTGAAGTTTCCAGTAGATTTTATGACAATTAGTTAATAATGATTAGTACATATATTTAGTAATCATCAAAATATTTTTCTTAACTTTCTATGACCTTACACTGACATTCTGGAAGGTTTTAAATTCCATTCCCATCCCAACTCCATTATTGAGTTTTTTTTTGAATCCACAAAGCTTGTGATCTATGACTTTCTGGTTTGTTAGCATTTTTTTTTCCTTTAATTACATTGTTCAAACCTCAAAGGTGACAATTGTAATGCACTGTAGTAACAGTTTCACTAAGATTCAACATTAAAGTACATTTGTCCTATTCCATCAAATACAAAGTAATAACTCTTTACAAAATATTTCAGATTTGCTGTTGATGCTTCAGGCTGTCCTAAACCTGCCAAGGATTTCTAAGGATTCAGATTATCATATTTGAACCCACTTTTCATCATCAGCAACAATATTTCACTTTTTTTTCACATCTGGCCAGAAATGAAATGCAATTTGTGAGATGTTCAATGCTTTCTTCTGACAATTCAAATGGAACCCATTTTCTCACTTTTTGAATCTTCCCTTCATTTTGCAAATATCTTACAATTGTAGAGTGATTGATACCAAGTTTTTCAGTCAATTCCAGTGTTGATTAAATAGAGTAATTATTTCAGACGAATTGCAAGTCATCCACATTTTTGTGGTTTATCCTCAAAGACAAATTCATCTTACTTGAATTTGCAACCCATTCACAATATATCATTTCCAACTAAACCATCAACATAGATTTCATATGTATCTTGTCTGCTACTAATTTTATATTGTTTTTCTCTGTAACACAAGATAAGCAAGCACTGAATACTTAACACTAAAACCTAGTTTTCAACTGTGTATTTAATTCTCTAGTTTAGTTTTCTGAAAAAAGAAGCACTGTAAACTTTTACTCCCCCCGCCCCCGATATTTATTTCAACTTTGAATGTAGCCAATTGCAACATGTTGCTCTTTTTACATACTTGGTATGGTTGCAAGAGTAACAAATGGAAACAACAAAGAAAAGGAGACAGGATATGTTAAAAAAAATCATCTCTGTTGCCAATATAATAGATCAAGGTAGAATGTCTCTTTTGTGGGCGAGGGATGTGGCCATGGAGATGGGAGAGTTGGTTGTGCATGGACCTGGCACTGAAGTTTGTGTCTGGTCTGTTGACTGAGTGACCACTGGTGAATTCCATGAACTGCCTGTGTAATGTTTTGGGTGTAGCTGAGCAGGTCCTTTTAAGCAGTCAGGTTAAATACATGACTCAGCATTTTGTCATGCTGTTGCTTTAGTAGTCATGTTTGTGATTGGCTCCAATTTTAATTTTATTTTTTATTTTGGGGTATTTGTTTTGTGAGCCAGATGCAATGATTGGTGCCCCTTCACAGTGAATATTTTTTATTTTTAATTTTACCTTCATAGTGTTTACATCCAGGCAATAGGTTTTGATATGGAGTGAATCAGAAAGAGGTCTAATTTAAGCAGAATATAGCATTATTTAGTTATGATAAAGGACAATTATTGAAGAAGTTTTCTTGATTTTTAATCAAACAATGCTTAGTGATAAGGAGTGTCTGTTGAAGATCATAGTTTGTATTTGAATGACAAAACGGAAAAAATTCTTTATATATTTCATCCTTCAAAGGTACTTCTTCAGACTAATAATTTTTTATTAATGGAATCTTATATGTAGTGGCATGGAATGAAATATAACAACCATTGGTTACAATTCTATATCGAAAAACACTGAAGATACAAAAACACTTGTAATTTTTGTTTATCTGCTGCTTTATGGAGATGCATAACCTATCTGATTTCATTCATCTTTTTACCTCTTTGTTTTCACTTTTATCACTGTTGTTTTTAAATCCTAGTATATGATTATAATAATATTATTATAATATATATATATATATATATATATAATATAAAAGGCTCAAACACTAACATTCCATGGTTATAAATTATTACACTAATATTTCATTGTTATAATTTATTACATTGGAATCATAATCATGATCCAATTCATCACGATCCAATTCATCAGACCTACAAATTCAAAAAGCCTTTTTTAATTTGTAGCTCTGATGAATTGGATTGTGATTACGATTACAATGTAATAAATTATAAACATGGAATATTAGTGTTTGGGCCTTTTATATTATATTCGTACTCTGTCCTGGACATGGAGTTCTACCTGGATTCTACCCTCTTTGAAATTTATGTATTTATGTTTTTCGCCATTTATATCATTAACTTTACTAATCTACTTTTTGTATGAATGATTCATGTAATATAAATTGAACTGCACCACATAACAGATAACGGGGATAACAGCTGTGATATTACTCTATTTATTGAACAATTTAGTTCATACCTCATCAACTGAAAAACTCCTGCAAAAAAAAAAAAATTCTCAAATTACCATATGAGTAAAATCATACTCTCTTAAATTTTCAAAAAAAAAAAAATTCAACCTTAGCATTGCGACTGCACGCTCCAAAAAATTTCTTATCCGTTAACAATAACACATTTCTAAAAAAACATATTTCGATTTGTATTTAATCTTTCGTGTCCCGCTACTACCTGGATTTACTAAAAAAATAAATTTCCATGCCTGAGGATGGCTGTATGTACAGCTGAAAGTACTAGCAGAATTAAAAAAAAGACCTTATACAACTTGAAGTTATTAAAAACAAGGATCATAACATTCATCAAGAGGTTTGTGGGTTAATGTAACTTTAATAAATTTACGCACACACACACACACATATATATATATATATATATATATATATATATATATATTGACCACTAATATATATATATATATATATATATATATATATATATATAAATATATAATGCCTTGATAACCATTACTTTCATTGAATATATGATCAGAGAGTCTTTTATTAAAACAGATTGACTTTAATTAACTTTTTCAATGATTATTTATTAGTTGCAGTATTGCTAAACTTTAGGGATTAGGAATGAATGTTCCCAACATCCTTTGACTATAAACATTACACAATAAGAGAAAGAGAATAAGTTTTAAAAACTTCCCATCATTGAATAAGTTGTTTAGTTTTATTTCTTAAGATCCAAAAAGAATAAAGTCATACAGACAATGATGTATAAAAGTTTTATGTTACTTTTTTTTCTTCTTTACTCACAAAATTCTCCTTTATTTGCCATACATCTTATGTATGTGTGAAAAGTACTGAATATATCTACAACTGGGATCACTACTTAGCTTTTGTCTGTTCAGGACACACACACACACACACACACACACACACACACACACACACACACACACACACACACACAACCTGTTTGAAAAACCAAAACAAGTTAACATAAGTCAAATACATGTCAAATGAAAGACTAGTGTTGTTTGATGGGAACAATAGTCAAATAAAATAAGAGGAGACATTGTGTCTGCCCAAACTTCACAATAGCAGCATTTGTTGATTCTTTTCTTTTGTCTTCATACCTTCATCTTGAACTATTTTTTTAATATTACAGAAGAAAATTATTTGAATTTGATTTTTCTTTTTAACTGACAGTTGGATCTTGGATGTTATATCAGTTATTGCAAATGGATTTAGAGACTTACAAATTCTGACATTAAGTTTTCATTTTATGATACATTATCATATGTAAGAAAGTGAATCTCATTCTGGATATTTTAAATACTAAGGATAAATTAATAAAAAATGCTTACCTGTTGTAAAGGCATTAAAAACTTCTTTAATACAATCTGTTTTTTATTATTATATTCAAATCAGCAAGTTCTAATTTTCCTGTAGAAGTGCTTTTCCTTAATCTGATGGCTTCAATTTGAAGAGCAACTCAAATGATGAGAAACCACCATTTCTATTAGTTAAAAGTATCGTGGTCAAAGGTAAACTATTTTCAATTTTTCCCTATGTATTTTATGACCATATTAATGACTCTTTTTCATGTCATTCTTTTTACAAAAAGTCAATGTATTTTTGTAAATTTCTAATCTATGAAACCATTTGTAGCATTTCACATGAAGTTGCAACATTGAGAATTAAACTCCAAACCTCTCACCTACCACAAACTGATTAAAACTCATTTCTAATATTTCGGATTTTCTCTTATTTTTATTTTCTACAAAATTATGTATTAAT